TGAGAAAGGAGCAAGAGTTTACCTTGAAGCAGAGTCTCAGAACAGGCAGCTGAAGCCGCTCCTTACCTCTTCTCCCTGGAGAAACAGTTGGCTGATCCCTCAGGAGTCCCACTGCAATATATGCCCGGTTGTAAATCTGCCCCTTTTGATAAGCAGGGAATTCCACAGAAAAGAGAAGTTTTCTATTTTTATTCAAGGGAGATTTGTTTATGCCTTCCCAGAAATGGGGTAACAGTTGCTATTTGTAGTTTCCTCTGAATTTCTCCTAAATTTGCTGACTTGCACATATCAGGAGCAGTTAACTCAGGCTAAAGGACATTTGGGAGGGCTCTATTGTTTGTGGAGGTCTGTATTTGTGGTGGATCCTTCTGAACCCAGCCTGAGGTTCAGAGGCAACTGCCCATGGCTGGAGATCACCCCCTTCTGACTGGACTGACACTGATGCCCCTCAATTTTCACTGCCTGAAATATCACTCAATAAATTCCCCAGTGTTCACCAAACCCTCTCACCACTCAGTGCCTGTGCCAAGGCTTTTTCCCTGGGCCATCTCACCCAATCCTGAGTTTCTCCTCACTTCTGGCACATCACTTACAAAGACAAATGCAGTCTTAACTATGAGAAATTAAGCTCTGTCAGGGATGCAAAACAGCTCAGGGTAAAGTGGAGATCAGAATCCAGCAGGACTCTTGGTCCCCCAAATTTAGCTGCTGTTGGATGCCTTTTCCCCATCACTTGTTCTCCCACCACAGCAGGGCACAGACAGGGAGGTCATTTGAATGGAATGGTCAATGCAGAAAACTGGGCACCTTTGGGATAGGACTCCTCCTCCTGCTGCTGCTGTTTGAAATGCATCAGTGGAATCATGTGGTGCAGGTGTTTGAAGTGAGATGAGATGAATCCCACCCAGTGGGTCCATTTGCAGGTGTTTGTAGTGGAGTGTGAGGAAACGGAAATGTTTTGTTAAATGCTGCAGTTCATCTTTTAATGACTGGAGGTGACATGCTGTAAGAGAGGACACTCATCTGGGGCCAGGCTGGTAGGTGTAAGCCAAGTACACGGGAATATGCTTGTTTCTGTCCTACAAGGTGGCAAAGAAAGGCTGGTTGTTGTAGGTCTGGCAGATCCAGGCTGGGTTCTCTGGCTTCAGGCCTTTTGCTGTGAGGGTGTTCCGGTACAAAAACTGAGGACAGCTTGCAAAGGACGTCACCACCTCGCTGTGTCCCAGCCAGAGGCAGCTCGCCCAGACCTGCAGCAGCAGCAGCCACAGCATCATGGGAGGATTTC